AGTCCTTCCCCTGGAACTGACTGGCTCACAGGTTCACTTATGGAATCCTGTCTCACAAACACCAGAGTCAGAAGAGCCACAGTTTGTTTGTCACTCACTCATTCAAGTAAAAATGTATGAGCGAGGAACCACTGCACAGGGCAACCCCGGAAACTGCCACCCAGATTTACAGAGTGGCCACAGTACTTAACATTGTCACCAGCCGTGTAGAGATCCAGCTTCTGCACATCCCCATCAGAATTTGGTACAGTATTTTTAATTTCAGTCATTCTGATAGGTGGAGGGCAGTGCCCTTCATAGTTCTAACTACATTTCTATACTGAAATGCCAACCTACCTTTCATGTGCTTATTGCCATTCCGATATCTTCTCTGATGAGGTGTTTGATAGGAGTTTGGTACAGATGTATGCATTGTCAAAATCAAGCAAACATACACTTAGATTTGTACATTATGTTTTATGCAAATTTACTTCAAAAAAAGAGAATAAAAATACTAAGCTCTTGTTAGTAACAACTTGCAAAGTACTTAGCAGGGAGAGTACTGATTCTACATAGAATTCACTCTGAAATTCATCAAGAAAATGGGTGGATGGATGAAGGGTACAGAAAGATGAAAAGCTAGGTGTTATAGCAAGTGTAGGGTACTGGTCAGAGTAGAATAGAGGTGGTGGAGAATTCCCTGTCAATTCAATTTTTCTGTATGTTTGAGTTGTTCATAATAAAATATTGGAGCAAGTGAATCTGGTACTGAATGATACAGGTTACAAAAGAATAATCTGTTCATTCACTCAGTGATTCGGGTTTTTCTTCTTGTTGACTTGTGGAGGCTCTGCTTTGTTTGTTTTGTTTGTGTGAGGTGGGGAAGGGAGGGAAAAGGGACACTAGGACTGACCCCAGGACTTTGGCCCTGAAATATATCCTTAGGCCTGTTTTCATCTTTTTTTTTTTTTTTAATCGGTACCGGGGATTGAACTCACGACCGCCTGCAATGCAGGTGCTTATGCCGCTGAGCTAAATCCCCAGCCCCTTCATCTTTTATTTTGAGAGCGATTCTCAGTAAGTTGCAGAACTCAAACTTGCCCCAGCCTCCTAGCGAGCCGGGATTCTCGGCGCGCGCCACCTCGGCAGTGCTCAGCGAGTTCGCGCGCGTGGGAGTTCGCGCGTGGAGAAGCGGCTCTCTGTGCGCCGTAAGGTCCTGACTCCAGAAATAGCGCGAAGGAGACGGGCAAGTTGCCTTCTCTGGTGCCCCTGGCTGGAGGGCTCGGATAATAAGCAGAGAAAAGTTAAACAATGCGTAATATCGGGCAGTAACTGCAGCTGCTGAGCAAACAGAGTGACGGGTGCAAAGCGACGAGGGGCGAGGAGAAGCAGGTTAGAGACGCAGCCAGGGCAGCCCGCTGGAGAAGGGGAGCAGCCGGCAGCCGCGGGGCGGGCGATGAGCTGGCGGGGGGGGGGGGGGGGCACTGAAGGGGGCGGCCACTGAAGGGGGCACACGAGCCCGGGCCACCTCTCGTAGGCAAGGACCCGGCAAGAGCACAATACAAGAAGTGCACACAAAGGCCTTGGTCTCACCACACGAATGGCAGGAATGGTCCTCTCCAGCTGTGAACTCTGTAATCAAACGCCCCACCCCGGATTTAACAAATTCAGAGTGCTTTCTCCCAGGAGCCCCCGGTGAAATCCTGGCCGGTTGAATTTATCGACCTCTCCCGCCATCTGCCGGCGACAAGTGGTACTCCCCGCCATGGGGGACGCTCCTAGTTGGCTTTGTTGGAAGCCACGTTGGGGATTTGCCAGATTCTTGACAGTTCCTCTTGGTGTCCCAGACACAACACATTCAGATAAAAGTACACGCTTTTGTTCACAAGACACACAGAGATGAGCCCTAGATCAGGGAGTCCCACCGAACTTCCACCTACCCAATATCAGCCCCACTCACTAAGCCCCAGGATGGACATTTCAAACACTTCTACTAAAAAGTAAAAATAAACAGGCAGCATGCAGTTAAGAGGGTGAGGCAGGAGGATTGCTGGGAGTTCAAGGCCAGTCTAGGCTACTAGTGAGTTCAACCTGAGCTACATAACAAGATCCTGTCTCAAAAAATAAATTTAAGAATAAAAACAAAAAATAATGCCTACTCATGTAAGTGTGCCCATCCACAATCATGATTATACTAAATTTTCCACTTTGGGGAACCACTGCACCTTCTTAAATGCTCTGGAGACATCCCTATTTCTTGTCTGTGGCATTAAAAGCTGTGACCATTAACCCTGATATGTCAACTTCATTGGATTAAGACTTGCCTAATATGCTGGGGATTTTAGCTCAGTGGCATAAACGCCTGCCTGGCGAGTGCAAGGTCATGAGTTCAATCCCTGGTACCAAAAAAAAAAAAACAAAAGACTTGCCTAATAGACAAGTAAAGCACATGCTTGTGGGTCATAGAGGCGTGGCCTTGAGTACTATGTATCTTCCTTTGCTTCTGGCCTCCATGAAATGAGTAACTTTGCTCCATCACATGCTTCTACCATGATGCTTCTGCTTTGGGGTCACAGACCATGCACTGAATCCCCTGAACCATGAGCTCAATCAGACCTATCATCCTTTAAATTGTGCCTGTCTGGGCTAGGGATTTAGCTCGGCGGCATAAGCGCCTGCCTGGCAAGTAGACAGTCGTGAGTTCGGTCCCTGGTACCGATTAAAAGGAAAAAGACAAAAAATAAAATAAATTGTGCCTGTCACATATTGTGTCCCAGTAACAGAAAAGCTCATACAAGTCATGGTTTTCTGGCTGTGGCTAAACCTTGCATCCATCGCTGCTCCCTCTCTGTCTTTTGCCCTCCCTGACCTTTAGGCCATTCCTGAACAACTCACCCGGATCTCTGCGCAGCCATTACATCTCGCCAGACACTGCCACTGCCACTGCCACCACTTCCCATTTCCCCCTAGACATATACATAGGTGTCGTGCCCACCTGCCACCTTGGAGCTCGATGGTCAAATTGTACTGGAGGCTCTAGCCAAGGAAAAAAAGCAATAAAAAAATTAAAGGTATTCAGCGATGACAGAAATATTTCCCAATCTTTAGCCTGTTGCAGAAACTAATTCCCTATGATTCACCACCTCCCGCCCCCATTCATTCGCTGCTTCTCTACAACCTATCCTGTTACCTAACTGAAACACCCTTCCACCCGCTGCTCAGCAAAGGCAGGTGGGCAAAGTGCAGGAGCTGGAAGCTCCAAGTCTGTCCGCAAGGGGGAGTGTGGGAGGCGCGCTGCAGGGAGGCCGCTCCCCGAACAAGTCTGTCTGGCTGTGATTTATCTGAAGCGAGCTCCTGCCTCCACCACGGAGGGCACTTGGGTTGCTGCCGAAGAAGAAAGGAAGAAAGGGTGTCCCAGACTTGGCTCAAGGGCTAGGGCACAAGTAAATCTAGGCCCTGACGCCCCCCACCCCATGATGCCGGAATTCTGGCGAGGCCTGGGTGAATGTGTTGGTGTGCTACGGGGTGGGTGCTAGGCAAAATGCTCCCCCAAAGAGGCCCTCGTTCTGAATCCGGGTACCTTCGAATATTATGGCAAAGGGGAATTGAGACTGCAAATGGAGCTGACTCCAAGAGAGGGAGATTAGATTGTCATGGATGATCTGGAGTTCCAGGGTCACCCCAAGAGGACTTTAAAAATGGAGGAAGTAGAGAAGATCTAAGTCACGTTAGAGAATAAATTGTTATAAAGGGCAAAGGGACACACTCACTTCCTCAAGCCTTTTATAAGAGCAGTAGTCCTGCTGTGAGGGCAGAACCTCATGACTTAATCACTTCCCCAAAGGCTCCCTCCTAACACATCACACTGGCTGCTCGGTTGCAGCATGAATTTTGGAGGCACAAACTTCCAGCCATGCATCACCCATGTGATCGAGGAATTGACATTTGAGGTCCTCGGCTGCTCAGCTCAGCGTCCGCAGTGTCATGCTTAAATCAGACTGCTCCAGACTTTCTAGTCCGGGCGAGGGAGGAAATCATCTCTTCACACTTCCATTTCTTCATCTGTAAAATGATAGCAATTCTTACCTCATTGGGATGTTCTGGTGAAGATTTAATGAGCTGATGCTTTATGTAATGCAGAGTAAGTGCCATTTATGTCTTATGTCCAACATGGCCAATTTGTTTGGAGATTCAAAAGAATGCCTGGTGGGCACCACCCACCCCCACCCCGCTGCAAGGTACAGCACATGACCTGGACATTCTCCCCCTCATGAGCAGCTCCAGGTGGACACATGCTATAGGAGGAGCCAGTCACGGTGGATTCAAACTTGGGCAGAGAAGTCTGGAACAGGCCCACTGTCTCCTCCCAGCCCAGCACACACAGAAAATGCTGGCCTACTGGGACCAGTGCAGTGCTGACCTTGGTTGCCGTCACAGTTTCTGGGTAAAGCCTCACCTAGACTGTTCCCCTGAGTCCCTTGTTACTCAGGTCAATTTGAGTTGGGTGTTCTGTTGTCTCTAACCCAGGCCCCTAACACACAGCATGGGCCTTGGAGTGGTGAAAGGTTCTTGGGAGCCTTGCAGTCTGGGTCCCCAGGGAAGGCATCTGTGAGAGAGGATGTAGAATGCAGGCTGTTGGCTAATGCGTGCCCTTGGGAGCACTGGTGAGGGAGGGAGATGTGTGCAGGACTGGATAAGGGAGAAGTGTCTGAGCTTTGCACATCACAAGGTTGTTGAATGTAAGGGGACTGACCTCCAGCAAGTGGCTCACTGAGGCTCAGGTGACCCCTGCAGGAGACCTGCCAACAGTGCCTTTGCATCACTGCTACAGGGGCACCTGGGCAGAGCAGGTCTGCGACTGGAGCTGGGTGTAACTTCCCCTGCAGCAGGAGGAAGCCTCGGAGACTGGGCGGGGGACACTCAGCACCTCTTCAGGGGAAGGTCAGTGCAGGCAGCATGGCCCATTCCTCTCATATCTCCTGCAGGCCTACTGGGGACCCCATGCACCAGCACAAACCAAATGCAAATCCAGCTTTATTCATCAAAAGGAATGACAGATTTCACAGACTTCCGCCACAGCCCAAGGAGGAGCACCAACCAAAAAAGAAGAAGAAGAGAAGAAAAAAGCTACAGACAGGAAGACGGGGAACTGCAGACCTGGGCCTGGATGGAGACGCAGTCTTGGAGGTAAACCAAAGAGGGCTCCGGGTGCTGGGGAGACAGCAGGCAGAGCAGGGGGGCCCATGACATGGCCGTCTAGAAAGGAAGCAACTCCTCCACAGGGATGTTGAGGACAACGTCCATGTCTGGGGTGCACCTGGTAGGAGGCAGCAGAGGAGTGTGAAGGGCCCAGAGGAGTGCCAGAGCTAAGGGGTGGGGGTGCAGCCCCAGGGGAGCCCTGCTCTTTAGAACACTGGGGTTCCCTGGAGGGCCCATCCCAAAACCCAGGACCAACTATGTAGACATACATTGGCAGGTGCGTGCACGCGCGCACACACACACACATGTGCAGATGTCAGAAGTGGAAAAGAAATTAGTTTAGTGGGAGTGATGTTCCCCCAAAGAACTCTGAGACCCCTTGGGACAATCACTCTCACTCTCGTGGGAGTGAGCACAGCTCCCACTGTGTGTTGAGCAAGGCACTTGTCCTCTTCAGCCCCACAGAGGTGCCCCTTCCATGGGCACCTCTGTGACAGTACTGTGTGTCAGGCTGCAGGTCAGCCTCAGTCTCCTTTTCTGTTGAGTGAGGGTGATGACCCCGAGCTCAGCCGCTGTGGCAGGGGCCTGTGAGGCCTCCATCAAGGGCCAGCCTATGGTCAGTGCCCAAAAGATGCTGGGCATTAGTCTTCCCGGCAAAGGAGCAGGAGAGATACCCTCCCTCAGCACACAGTCTCCAAACTCAGTGACCAGCACAGATAAGCAAGGAGCTACAGGATTACACTCTCCCTCCACTGTTGGGATTTTTGTTTGCTTTGTAGGATCTCACTATGCAGGATCTCACTATGTTGGGTCTCGCTCTACGGCCAGACTGGCCTTCACCTCACGGTGACCCTTCTGCCTCAGTCTCAATGCTGGAGGCATGAGATACCATACCTGGCTTTGAAAGTTTTCATAATAGTTTTTAGTAGTTTCATCTATACTAGCGACACTCAAATTTCTATCTCCTATTGATGTCTGTCCTATGAGATCTACACTTATCTATCTGATGGCTACGCACAGATGTCCATGTAAACCACAAGGACCCCTGAGTCAAGTCTTGGCCATGCCCACACATGCCTCCTCGCCCAACTCAGCTTCCCTATCCCTGGATTTGGCACCACACCCACTGTGTCCCAGAAGCTGGAACCAGGGGCTGTCCTTGAAGCCTCCCTCTCTCCCTCCCACATCCAAACATCTCCAGGTCCTACAGGGTTCTCCTTTATTATTTCTGCAGCCCATCTAACTGTCCCATCTCCTCTGCCCCCACTTGACCAGGCTCCTCTGGACCATCACACCTGACTCGACTTCAAGCTCCCACTCCAGTCCCACTGCAACCTCGTCTCTAAAATGATTTCTTTTATATATAAATCTGACCATGGTACCACTCAACTTCAAATCCTTTGCTTTTGGGGTGAAGTATGAGACCATGGCCTGCAGCACTGCCCAGAGGCCCCACAGGGGCTGAGCTGTCTGTTCCTTTCTACCTGCTCCTCACTCTGCGTTACCTCCACCAGTTCTCACCTCACTGCTCGGGCATGTGGCCCACGGAGCAGCAGCCACCTAGAATATGTCAGGGAGGCAGCACCATGAGCCCCTTGAATCCCTGCCGGTTTGGAATCTGCTGTTCAGCAGTCAGCGCAGTCTCCACATGACTGCTCCGCGTGTTCTGGCCGGAGCAGCTCTGCCTAGCAGCAGGACCTGCCCACTCTGGCACAGAAAGTGGCTTCCTGCGCCTGGGACTCCCTTCCTCATGAAAGGCACCAGTGAGGCTGCTTCTCCGGGCCTCTCTGCCCTTCTACTCCCTCTGGTGTTGCAAAAGGGGTGGGATACCTGAATGGGGGGCAGTACTCACTGCCCTGGAGAAGAGGGGCCTCGGAAGCCCAGTTCCTTGTCTCAGCCACAAGCCCTCTACCAGGACACTTCCTCTGCTCCAAGGACCAGAAGTCCAGATCCACCACGACTGAGCAGCTCAGTCTGCCTCATTTTGGGTTTAGTATCAGGAAGACAGAATGTCTGCAGACATGAGCCACATTCTCTCAAGTGAGCTCTAGCAGAGTAAGAGTGGTGGTCTAGCCCACCTCGGGCTCACCTCCTTTCAGTCATAGTTCAACATGTTCAGAACCCAGGTGAAGGCAATGGGTATCCCCGGGACCCTGCACTGCCACCTGGCACCTCTCTCCCTTCACTGCTCTCCAGCCTTTTGGCCTGGGGAGCCACATCCTCAGGGAAACCTTCCTGATGGCCCCGATTCCCTGCCCTGGGACACACGCTCCCAGAACCACCGCCTCTCCTCAGCAACTCTTGGCTCAGTCCCAACTTGACATCTATGTCTTACTGTCCACCAAGGTCTGGTTCACGGCTCCATGGTGGCAAGGACAAATTTGTTATCCTTTACATGGTCCCTGGCGCTACCTAATTGAACAGCATTACTTTTTTTTTTTTTTTTTTTTTTTTTTGTCTTGTTCTTTTTTTTATCGGTACCGGGGATCGAACTCACAACCGCCTGCTTGCAAGGCAGGTGCTTATGCCGCTGAGCTAAATCCCCAGCCCCAACAGCGTTACTTTTTAAGAAAGAAGTGAGGGAAGAAGAGTTGGAAGAAAAGGAAGGGGGAAGGGAGGAGGCAAACATAGAAACAAAATAAATAATTTACAAATGTCAGGCTCTGTCACACAAGAATCTGTGGAGGCCTAGCCTGGGGACTCCCAGCTCAGCCACACAGGGCTTGATCAATGGAAGGAAAAGCAAAGAACTAGTGTGAGATCATGTTTGATTTGTTTTTGTTGGAGAGAAGAAGGGAGGCTGAGTCAAGGTCATCGGGCCAGGCTTGACCTTGCCTTGTAGCGCTGTCTACCCTCAAGCTCCCAGTACTCCTGCCTCAGCCTCCTGCATGCTGAGATTACAGTCACGCAGCAACACACCTGGCTGAGAAATGATTTCAGAAGGAAAGATGGCTTTCCCTTGGCGCACAGAATTCTGTGTGTTCGAGGCCATGCCTCTTCCTTGGAACCAATCACCCCACTCAATTCCGCCTTCTCAACAACTCACCCAGCTGACACAGGGAATCGGAGGGGCTTCTTAGAGATGACTTAACCCAGCGTGCTGGGTACCAACGGGAAAATGAAGCCCAGAGATCAGAAGGTCACATCTACCTACGGCCAGTGGCAGAGCTGAAGTGGACATGCAGGCCTCCTCCCTCCCTGCCTGGGCTCTGCCATCTACACCAGGCTGCCTTCCCTGGGGAGAGAGCCTCCTGGAGGACAGTCTAAGAGGCAGCTGCACAGAGAGCACATACTTGGGTCTCCGAAGCAGAATATCCTCAAAAATGACCTCCCGCAGATCTTGGAGCTGGGCCCGGAGCGCTTCCACCTCGGCTCTTAATGCGGGAATCTTCTCTTTCCATTGGTCAATAAGCTGATGAGGGGAAAGTGCCACAGGGGAGAAGTGAGACGCCAAGGACCAGAGTCAAAGGGAGGACAGGGTGAAACGCACACAGTGCAGGGATCCCTAGAGAAATGCCGTGGTCTCATCACGGGGACATGCTGGACTCTGGAGAGGGGGTCCTCCCAGCACAGGACGAGCGGGCTCCCAAGTTGCTGCCAATATTCGATGGTGCCGAGAAAGCCAAGAAGCCATGGGGAACAGAACTGTGTTGCCTGCCACGAGGATGAATGGCCACTGACTGGGGCAGGGTACTCACAAGAAGAACCCATGAAGGTGTGAGATAACCCCTTTGTGGGGTGACTCGGTAAAGCTCATTAGCACTGACAGTGCATGGTGGTCAGTGGTGAGAACTGCGGGGGCTATGGTGCAGGGCTACGGTGTGGTACACGGTGGCTGAGCAGAGGATGCCTCATGATGCTGCTCACGGGTCACAGCCAGTGATGGTGGCCACTGAGGCAAGGCCCAGACCAGCATGAACCCTCTTCCCAGACCAAAGATGAATGATCGGAATGGCACTGACACAGAGGAAGGCCACACCAGAGTCAGACATCCAAAGCAGCCTGTCTCCCACAGCCTGGGAGCTGCCCACTCCCCCACCCCCAGAGGACCACAGCCTTCCCGTCCACTCACTTCTCTGCACTTGACAATGCATTTCTGCTGGTACTGGCTGTCCTGGGTCACCTGTACAAGGGTTTTGTCACGAGGGCGCTGGGTTTTCTGTGGACAAAGGAGGTCTGTCCCCTGGGTGCCTCTTTCTGGGCAGCAGTGCATAGCAGATACGGGGCAGAGGACAGTCCAGGGGTTTAGAAACAGAGAACGAGGAGACGCATAACAGCAGCTGGTGACTCACCACCACCAGCGACCTCCAAACTTTTCTCTTTTTTTCATGCTTTTTGTTGGACAGAGTCTTCAGCACCATTCTGCGCATCTCACCGAGGTTATCCAGCTCCTCCTGGGGGCCAGCAGAAGAGTGAGCCCCCAGCTCCGCCTCCCATGTGCTCCAGGGAGGTGGCAAGCACCCCTACCTGCTGGTCATCCTTCACCTGCTGCAGCTGGCGCACCAGGTTGCTAATCTGCACGGACCTAACGGGGTATTCGTGGTCCATGTACGTGCTCAGGAAGCTCACCAACTCCTGGGTGTTCTTGATCCTGGTGTTCAGCTGCTCTGCCTGCTGCTCCAGGCCTGGGGAGAGGAGGGAAAAGGAGGTTAGAGGGACTGGAGGAGGGCCTCCCCTCAAAGGCCACTCCCAGGAGACTGGGTCTCCTTGGCTGATGGAGTAGGGTCTGGACTAAGGTGAATGCTCAAAAGGCTGGGACGTAGTGAAAATTTAGCCCCTAGGCAGTGCGCCAGGTCTGCAGGAGGCAAAGCAGAGGCTAAGGAAGGCAAGAAAAATGAAACTGGTGCCATATCTTCAGGCCAGTGAGGCCAAGGACAAGGGGTTACACTGGCACCCAAGACACAATCCTTGGCAGGACTGAGACGAAGTCTACTCCACCTTCCTGCATGGAGGGCATCCTCCATGTCGGAGCCTGCCTGACATGGAGGAGGAAGGAGGAAGTCACAGACCCTGAAGGACAAAAGCCAGCAGACCTGGGTCCTGGCCCAGTCACTCACTCCTGAAGGGACCTTGCCAGGGAACAGAGCCAGGCTAGGAATGGATTCCGGCTCCAACCTGTATAACCTTCACCAGGCTCCTTCACCGCCCTTCATCTCCTCATCGGTAAAACCAGAGACAGTCCCTGCACCACAGGTGGCTATAATGACTGCATCTACGCAGGTCAAGAAGACACCTGGAGCCTGGAATGTGCTTTGTGCTCAGAACTTAAGCTCTAAGCTCTGTGTCTCAGTAATTTGATCTTCCAAGGAGGGAGAGGAGGGGCTGATGGGCTCTGAAAGGGAGGTGAAGGTGCTGCCCTCCTCCCCCGCCAGGGGCCAGGTGTGAGGGCCAAAAGTCTGCTCGATTCTTACTGTTCTTCTTGTGTTCTTCCTTCTCTTTCCACTCCTGAAGCTCAAACTTCGACCTCTGTAGCTTGTTGTTTGAGTACTCCAGAATGTCCATCATGTTCTGCAGAAGTAGTGGGCTCAGCTCACCCCAACCTCTGTTGGCCTTCAGCCAGCTGTGGCAACTCACCGCTTCCTCAGAGGAGTCCCCAGTCCCAATTCTACTCCCAGGATTAGCAACCTGGCTGAGGCTAGAAAACAGTCACGCCTACCCTTCTCCCAGCAAAGGCCCTCCTTGATCTGACCCAAGTCAACGCCTCCCTCTCTGATCCCTTCCTCACACCTTACTATCCAGCCTCACACAGTGGATCCTTGAGTCCGCTCTGCTGCCTCTCACCCCAGGCCTCGGGCACCTGTTCCCTCTGCCAATTTAATGCCTTCTCTGCAGATCTCAGCCCACTTTCTCCAAGAAGACTTCCTGATGCTCACATGTCTAGATGGGGGTCCCCTCCACGCTCCACAAATTCCCCACTGCCAGCACAAGACACACACACAGGGCTTTCTAACTGCTTGTAGCTCTCTGGAAAAAGAGCTTGCTATGAACAAGGTGTCTCATGGTTGCTGTTCCCAGAGAGTTCATAGGGAACATCAAAGATAAAAACAACACAGGATAAAGCGACGAAAAGAGGATGATTTGGAGAATGTATTAAGTTTCCTTGGGCTGCATGTCCTTAGCCTTGATCCCTGCTAAAATTCGTATATTACAGTCCTAGCCCTTCAGTGTGACTGCGTTTGGAGACAGGGCCTTTAGGGAGGTGATCAAGGATGGGCATAACAGTAGACCTTCATCTGACAGCCTGGCAGCCTCATAAAAAGAGACACCAGTGCTCACCCCATGCACACAGAGGAAACACCAGGGGAGTCAGAGCTAGCCAGCGACATGCAAGCCAGGAAGACAGGCTGCACCAGAACATAACTGCCGGCCCCAGGATCTTGGATTCTTAGTCTCCAGAACTAGGATAAAATCAGCTTCTGTTGTTGAAGCTGCCTAGTCTGTGACCTTTTGTAAGGAGCTCAATGAGGATCGAACGACACATACAGCAACTAATACATTCCCCAAGAAGCCTCAATTTCCTCTGCACCTCTCAGAGTCAGTGTGCTCTGTCCCCCTCCTCACAGGGCAGACTTCAGACAGAGAGAAATCACTTCATTCAGCCATTTCCTCTCTCTCTCCAGTCCAAACTCCTGGGTCGCCTGGGAACTTCCTGTCCCCTCATTACAGTGCCACCACATTCCCCAGAGGAGGCAGAAGATGCTCCCCAGGCTCTCTGCAAATTCATTCTTTCCTGTCAGACTAAAGTGCCACCCCCAGGTGGTGCAAGCTCACAGTGCAGAGCACATATCCTGGTGCCAGACTGCCAGGTTCAAGTGCCAGTTCTGATCCTTGCTAGCTGGATGACTCTAAACAAGTCACTTATCCTTTCTGCCTTTCCCTGCCTTTCTGCTCCCTGGTACTGATAAAAAGGAAAAAGACAAAAAAAAAAAAAAAAAAAAAAGACTATAGGAATAAATGCAAAGCGCTTAATACCACGCTGTGCAAGCGTCTGCTGCAGCAGCAGTGGCTGGAAATGTAGCAGCTCCATTTTTACAAGTACTACGTGTGGTGGCTACAACTTCCTTTGAGGTAAGCGCTAGTGTGCCCCACTTTACAAAGCCCTACTTGAACCTGACTCCAAATCCCAGGTAGGAGGCCAAAGCATGGATGGGGACAGGGCTGGGAGCTGAGACAAGGCATGAGACAAGGCATGGGGACAGGGCTGGGAGCTGAGACAAGGCATGAGACAAGGCATGGGGACAGGGCTCACCACTGCAATATTTTCCTGCTGCAGCATGGCCCGCACTTGCAGTGCCGTGCTGGCCTCTGTGTCCAGGATGGACTTGAACAACTGTTCATTCTTCTTGGCAAGGAAACATTTGTGTTTGCGGATGTCCTGGAGCAAGTTCCGCTGGTTCCGGAGCATCATCTGTGACCACAGAACAGGTAAGTAAGGGATGCTGCCCTGGGGCCAGAGATCATGGAGCTTGGGGATCTCTCCTCACCATCTGTACCCCATGCAGCCTCCCCAGTATCCCAGGTAGGGTAAGCATTCCCCACTGTCTGTGCATTAGTGTGCCTAAAAATCAAGGCACAGTGACCCTTTCATCCAATTGGAAATGCACATTTTCCCATACTTTCCTATCTCTGAGGTGGGAATGCATGGTACACTTGGTGGCGGATCACCATTTAACCGACAAATATTAATAGGAAAATAAAGTTACAACTGTGATCAGTGGCTTCTGAGAATCAATGAAATAGTCTATTAGGATGATAGTAATGGTAATGATATAATGACAATAATAACAATGCCCCAGATAATGAGAAAGTGACAAGGGACAGGCCAGGTCTGGAAGAGAAGCAAGGAAGCCAAATGGGTGTTAATAGCCTCCATTTCCTGTCCCATCACGCAAGGCCCCTGTGGAACAATGATATCAGGGAAGAGGGGCTATGTGATTTGTCCAAGGTTACATCCAGCAGACACAGCACATGGACAAAAATAAGAACAGTAATAGCCACTGTCAAGGGTCGGCTACATGCTAGGGCAGGAGCTACTCAGGTGACACATGGCATCAGTTCATCCACCAGCCACCCCATGCTCATGAGCTCTGCTGATAAGCAGAGGCTCAAAGAGCTAACATGACCATTCAATATCACACAGCCAAGTGACAGTGCCAAAATTGAAGCCAGACTTTTTTTTTTTTGAGACAGGGTCTTGCTATGTAGCCCAGGCTGGTTTCAAACTTGCAAGAATCCTCCTACCTCAGTCTTCCAAGTGCTGGGGTTACAGGCATGTGCCACCATTCCCACCACACTTCTGAGCCCAATGTCCATCTTTCTATACACTAAGACAAAAAAATTCAGTGGGTTTAAAACTACAAGGAAGGGCCGGGGATATAGCTCAGTGGCACTGCTCCTGCCCATCAGGTGTGAGGTCATGAGTTCAATCCTCAGGAATTGAAACCTGCAAGGAGTAGGTGAACCAGGTGGTGACTATGATTTGGATGTCAGGCCTACAAACACCTTGGTTCAAATCCCAGTTCTACCACTTATCCTCTCAGGAAATCTGAGTGAGTTAATGACCCTCCCAAAGCCCAGTCATATAAATAACTGCAAATAACTTATATGAGCTCCAGAGAGTGGCTGTAAAATGAACGAGATAAAATTCACAGTCAGGCCACTTAACGGCAGTGCCTGCATGCCCAGTATGCACTCAGTGAGCAAAAATGGATACTAATCTCTCTGGCTCTAGTTCTCCACCCTGAGTCGATTAGTTCTCTTAATTCTTTCTGCTCTTCCTCATTTCCATCCTTGGCTAGAATCTATGCCTTCCCAACCCTCCGCTTCTGCATTCCTGAGCTCCCGGTGAACAGCAGCTGTGCTGAGTACTGGGAGCTGAGCACTGAGTAGTCTTTACCTCTCAGTGACTCCGGAGACACAGCACTCATGACAATGGGACCTCAGCATCAGAGGCAGGAACAGACCCATGTCATACACAACAGAGCCGTTGTCCTTGAGGTCTGGACTCCTAGCCCCTCCACTATCCGGCCTCTCCATCTCCAGGCCAACATATCCAGCTCACCTTGTGGAAAACACACACCTCCAGGGCTGGGCCCACAGCTACCGCCTGGAGGCTGGCGCCAGCAGCCTGCACTATCAGCAAACATTCCACCCCCCCGGGAGTCTCTAAGGGCAGGACGTAAGGACCTCTGCTCTAGAAATGGGCTCCTCTGACCACCAGAACTAAGCCACAGCCCTGTGGCACCTCAGTCTGTAGTCACAGATTAAATTCTATCTCCCCATTTCCCAACTTATTTTTCTCCTAGGACTTGTCACCTAACACAACAGACATTTTTCCCATTACCTTCTTGTCTCCTTCTAGTAGTGTGTCACTGCCAGGAAGGCATGGCTGTCTGTGCTCTGTCACACCCGTATGGCCAGCACATAGGTCAGTGCCTAGCGCTCCCATGAGTAGGGGATGGATAAATTGATCAGAAACTACTCTTTGGGGGCATTTGGGGGGTGTTTTGCTTTGAGGTGCTTGAGAATGAATCCTTATCCTCTACATCAAGCTACAGCCCAGACCTTTTCTATTTTTTAATTATGAGACAAGGTCTTACTAAGTTACTAAGTTGCCTGGGCTAGATTCAAACTTACCATGCTCCTGCCTCAGCCTCCCAGAGTGCTAGGATTACAGATGTGCACTTTTTAAAATTTATTTAAGATGTGTCTTCTGCTAAGTCTCAATTTCACAAACTCTCAGTGACTCATTCATGCCTGCATCCTCCGTACTCAGTACAGTGCCTGGCACACACTAGAGCCTCCCAAAAGAATTCAGAATGAAGCCAGGCATAGCAGTACATACCTGTAAATCCCAGGATTCTGGGAGCCTGAGCCAGGAGGGTTGCGAGTTCAACCCCAACCTGGGCAATTTAGTGACTTCTGTACTTGCTGCTCTGCCTGAAGCACTCCTCCCTCAGCCGCCCACACCACAGGGCTGCTTCCTCATGGCCTTCGATCTCAGAGGCCCGAACCTTAACACCCTTCCCAGACCCCACTATCTACAGTGCTCGCTGCCGCCCCCTTCTCCATGCCTTTCTGACCCCTAAGCTGATTCTTTTGCTTCCCCACAGCGGGGTTCATCTCTAGCCACACATACTTGTCTCGCTGCCCTCTGTCTCCCCCAGTAGAATGTGAGCTCCCTAAGGTGAGAAACCACATCGCTGATGAATCCCCACACTCAGAACAGGGTCTGACACCTCGCAAGGTGCTCAATAAATATTTCCTGACTGAATGAATGAGTGAATAATTACAAGAGACACTATTAAGAACTGGCTAAGAGCACAAAGTTTGTATTTCAAATTGTCCAAGTTCATGCTCTGTATTAAACAAAAACATAAACATAAACCCTTCTAAATTGGGATAAAAGTTACTGAAGAAACTGAAATTCTCTTCTTAAGGGTCCTGAGGCCCTGAAAAACAATTTTGCAAAATTAAAGGCCAGGGGCTGGGGATTTAGCTCAGCGGCATAAGCACCTGCCTTGCAAGCAGGCGGTCGTGAGTTCGATCCCTGGTACCGATAAAAAGGAAAAAGACCAAAAAAAATTAAAGGCTAAAGTAGGAAAAGTGATTTTGTCTTTTTTTTTTTTTTGTACCAGGGAGCAAACTCATGACCTCTTGCTTGCCAGGCTGGTGCTTACGCTGCTGAGCTAAATCACCAGTGGAAAAATGACTTCAAAGCAAATACTTTTTCCCTTTTGCTTTATATCCATCATTCACTGAACTATTACAAACTTCCATGCTGGGCAAGGTAGTGCACTCCTACAATACCAGCACTCAGGAGGCTGAGGCAGGAGTTCAAGGCCAACATAGTAAGACCCTGTCTCAAAAAACAAAAATAACTTCCTTGAAGAGGTTAAGCATTGTACAGTATTTTGTAGTATTTATAACATTTAGTACCCACAAATCCATAAAGTAATGCATGATTTTTAAAAATGTAGGTACAATGGCCTCAGCTGATGGAAAATGTGACCCGTAGCATCCAAGCCCTGCATCAACCTGCACTGTGCTCCACAAGGGTCAACAGATTGAAAAGCTTCAGATAAACCACTGGATTGCATTCCTAGTACGGCATAACAAATTGTGATTCTAACTTTTCCTGAGATTAAACACAACAGTGCCAGCTTTGTTTAACTGGCTTGGGCTCCTGACACTGTTATTTTCTGGCTGTGTGGCCTAATGCAAGTCATTGATCACCCTGCACCTCAGTTTCCCCTCTGTGAAACAGGAAGGACATGGTGTGCTCATGAGGTTTCTGAAGGAGGACCTGAATCAAGTCTGGCATCCACCAGGTGCTCAGGGCACATTTGCTACAGCCCTGGTCCTGGCCCTAGCCCTGCCCCGGCGCCCAGGCCTGTGGGGAGATGCTCCTCATACCCTCATTAGCCTGGGTTTGGCTGGCATCTTTCCTTGGTGCGGCTTCTCCCTTATATGCCTTTCTTGTGGATCCTTCGGCTGGCTTGTCACCAATGGAGTGAGCTTGGAGGGCACTGCTAGGGACAGATGAGAGAGGACAAGGAGAGGGTGAAGGCACAGGCAGGCCTGGAGCCAGGTCCCAGAGACTGCAAGGAGAGAGGCCCCAGGCACTACCCCACCCACTTAGAGGGACAAGGGCTGCGATGTTGGACAGAGGACAAAACCCACTAAAGAGCTCCAGGTTCCACTCTTGGTCCAGGTAAAAGCAGAGACCATGGAGATGGACAGGGAAATAGAGGGGGCAGAGGGCAAAGGCAAACACCCCTCAAAATTGTAAGCATCTGAACCTTGATTCAGAAAGTTGCCCAGGCTGGTCTTGAACTTGTAGCCGTCCTCCTGCCTTAACCTGCCAAGTCCTGGGATTACAGGGTGCGTCACTGTGCCCAGCTGCAAAGTACTCTATGAAGGGTGAATCTAATGGAATCATTAGATCCTCTACCCCCAACTGTTCCAGTCAGAAGAGCTGGGAACTCACACAGTTTGTGCCCTGCCAGTTGCTGTCACAGCAGGGAACAGCAACTAAATCAATGAATGATTAGAAACACGTTAGCATCCTTGCCTTAACAACTGTATCTAAAAGAGTCCACAGGTCTGAGTCCAAGAGTCCTGAGTCCAGAGCTGATGGAAAGGTCAGGCAAGGCAGGGTGAAGAACAAGACTAACGAAGAAGACAGAGCTTCCTACCAGCTCTGAGACCTGCACAGGACACATGACCGCTCTGTCATCTGTAAAACGGAAATAATCATCACAACTACCTCCCCAGGGTGTCATGAAGATTAAACAAGAAGCTACTGTGCCTGCCAGTGTTTGGAATAAGTAGTGCCCCCCCCCAGCTGGATACGGGGAATGACCTGAGAATTCGGACCACAGTCCCCGAAGGAGGCACAGCAGCCACGCAAAGCTCCACTCCGCTGCCTCTGCAGTACTGCGTGAGCCGTGGCTCTGCGGACAGTGAGCAACAGCACTGGAGCACAGGGCCTGAGAGTCCCCGCTTCACCTGGCTTGGCCCGCACCTGCTCGGGACAAAGCTACCCAGGGGCAGAAGCTCTGTTCTCAGTTGCCTCCAAAATCCCAGCTCCAGATACAGCGCAGTATATTTGAGGAAAATAATTAAGATTATTTCTTTAAGTTAACCCTGGGAAATTTCATGAGTAAATTCTGAGATGAAGTAAATTAATGTTATGTTAAATGTGTGACTCTCTGCATATGTCTGGTATCTAACTAGACTGTGTAAGAGACATTGATTAACAGAGTAATCTTGTGTTTTAATTTTAAAAGTGCAAATGGGATTTCAATTTAGATTTAAGTCGAAAAGCGTAAGAAATTCTTATTAAATGTGTATGTTATAGGAACTTTTAAAAAAACAGAGAATTACCCATAGTTGAAGTCTATTTATTCGATGTATGACTTATTTAAATGTCTAAAGGATTTCTGAAAATCATACACATAATTCTTTAAAAATGAAAATGAATATATTAAATTTTTAAGTCTTACTTAAAAGGTTTAGGAGAATTCAACCAAATTCCAAAATCCTCCTTATAAGTATTTATAAAATTTGTAAAATTCATAAGCTGAACCTAAATGCTTCAGAAAGATTTGTAGCTTAATAATATTTATTTTCATTTGTGGTAGTAAGCCTGATTTGTCTTTTCTTCTTTTTTTTTTTTTTTTTTTTTTGTCTTTTTCATTTTTATCGGTACCAAGGATCGAACTCACGACCGCCTGCTTGCAAGGCAGGTGCTTATGTCGCTGAGCTAAATCCCCAGCCCCTGATTTGTCTTTTTTTCTAATTAAATTTTTTATTTGAGATAAGTTCTGCTTCTTGGTATTACCCTGAAAAAATTAAAAGCATCATATCACAGTAATATGTTTACACCCATGTTCATAGCAGCACAGTTTGTAATAGCTAAATCTTTGAAACAGCCCAAATGCCCATCTACCAATGAATGCATAAAGAAGATGTGTTATTTTCATACAATGGAGTATCACTCTGCCATAAAGAAGGACAAGCTAAAGACATTTCTAGGCAAATGGATGCACCTTGAGAACACCGTCTTAAGTGAAATAAATTGGAAACACATGTTTAAATACCACATTGTTTCTCTGGTGTGAGAAATCAAAAGTGTGAATAATAAGGACCAAAATGTATAACTGATCTCGGGAAATGGAAAGAAAATGCTCAAATGAGAAGGGGAGAAAGGGAGAGGGAGGGGGAAAGGAAAGAGGGGACAAGGAAAAAAAGAGAATAGATAGCCCAGCATGGCGGTGCACACCTGTAATTCCAGCCCTCGGGAGGCTGAAGCAGGAGAATCACTGCAAGTTTGAGACAAGCCTGAGCTACAAACTGAGTTCAAGGTCAGCCAGAACTGCATAGTGAGGCCCTGTCTCAAAAAGACAAAGAAAGAGAGGAAGAGAGAGAGACAGGTAGAGAGATGAGGTGTAAAAATGGAAACAAGCTTTCATAAATGAGGGGAAGAGGGTTTGAAAGAAGTGAAGAGGAATGGGAAAAAAGAAACAGCAGGATGTATCATGTACAGGTACAAATTCCCTGTGATGAATAGTATCATTATATAAATCTAAAATGTACCAATAAAATTTTAAAATGCAAAAAAAGATAAAATGAGATCATTGCAAATTTGTTAAGGTTCCAGAAAAATGAATTTATCAATGTAATTTGTAGGCCTCAAACCAATTAGATTTTTCTATACTTCTTAAGGGAAAAATATATTCTGAAAATTTTGGTGCTCAGATATGAATTTGGAACAAATTGAGTTCAACAACCAAGGCATCACTGTATTCTCCCCCTTCACATTTACACATGCTTTTAATTTCTTATTTTGAGACAGGGTCTCTATGCTGCCCAGGATGGACTTGAACTTGCAAATCTCCAGCCTCAACCTGCCAGTGTGCTGGGATTACGTACATAAGCCATTCTGACACTAATGAAAATAAACCCCTACATTATTACTTGAAATCTAGAGGTTATTCGCTACGTTGTTTGCCTACCTCAACATGAACAGCATCACCCAGTCCAGGAGTGCCACTCTATCTTGTCCTTAACCCCCATATCAGTGCCCAAGTGCCTCTGCCCACCTGCACGGCCTGTACTTAAAGTCTTCATTTTGCTTCTGCTATGGATGCTGGTTTGCTGGAGTGGAGGCAGAGTAGACGGCTTGGTTTCATGTTTGTACCACTGCCAACCAGAAATAACACAAATCAGTCACACAGCATGCTCTGCTCAAATCCCTGTTCTATGCTTTACAGATATCTGTGACCTTAAGCAAGTAGCCTTAACTTTCAGAGCCCCAATTTTCTCATCTGTAAAGCAGATATAATAACACAACTTAAGTCTATGGATAAATGCAGACAGCTGGGTCTGTAACTCAGTGATAGAACAGTTGCCTATCATGCTCCAGGCCTGGGCCAACCCCCAGTACAGTTTTGTTTTATTTTATTTTGTGTTTGGTTTTGTTTAATCCAAGAGATATCTGTGAAGCAAGTGATAAATTTTAGTAAGTATGCTAGCAGTCACTGCTACCTCCTGTCTTACCAGGCACTGAACCCATGGCCCTCCACTGAGCTACACCACCAACCCCCACCCAGCTCTTTGTATTTTGAGAAAGCATCTCCATAAATTGTCCAGGCTGACCTTGAACTTTCAGTCCTCCTACCTCAGCCTCCAGGGTAGCTGAGATTACAAATATGTTCCACTGCATCCAGCCAGCTGTCACTTTTTTTTTTTTTTTTTTTAATCAGCCTGGCAGAATTTACTAAGTATATCAGGCTGTGAGGTGCTAAGATCTGTGAGAAACAGAGGGCATGGGAAAGATCTAGTACTCAGGAACTCTTGAGTTAGCAATGAGAAAGTAATAAGCGAGCAGCACAGTAGGCCCCTATAAACCGATAAGGCAATAACGGGAGAAAAGGCTCAGAGGCTTGCGCCGGGCCCCACTGCAAGTGTGTGTCACCGCAAGCTCGGATTGGAGTTCAGATCTCCAGGCTATCATGAGGAACAGTCAACTTCGTGGGAGTTGAGAGCAAGACGACTTCAAGGTCAGTGAGCCTCCCCCGACTCACCAGAAACTGGGACTTGTGGGCTGTGGAGTGAGTCCCAAAGTGGCTGGATCTGGAAAGAGCAGGAGCAGAAAAGAATTGCCTTCATCTTCAGCCCAAGGAGCTGCAAGCAACAAACTTGGAACGCATGAAATCTCAAACCCCAAACCGAAGTTTCAGAGGTGAACCGAGCAGAAACAGGGCAGGGAAAGTGAGTGCAAAGGCGCGGGCAAGAGGTACGGGTGGGTGAAGGCGCGCGACCACTCAAGGTTGACTGAGGGGCACCCACGCGCATTCCAGTACCCGCTGACACGCCTGCTTACTTCGGAAAGCCATGAGCCATTGGGGAAACTAGTTTTGAGCCAGTGGGGGCTCTGATATTCTGGGATGCCTGTTCGGCTTCAACTTCCTTGTCTTGGCGTGGATCCGCAATCTAAGCCTCTCAAACTTTTCTTAACAAAACCTAGAACGTCGGAAGCGTCTCGGTCTCCAAGGAAACGAAGGCCGACTAAGGAGCATCAAGGGGGACAAATCTCGCAAGGGAAAGTAGCGCTCTTCAAGTCTCAGTTTGGTTTCAAATATCCATTTGCCCTCGCCCATATTTCCAAAGAATTATATTTTTTTCTCACTCTACAAATTTCCATGACTTTCTTCCTCGTCTGCGTTCCTGGCTAACAACGTTGCTATTTCAGTGGGAAAAAATCGTGGAGCTTAATTAACACAAGTTGCCAACACCTCACTTACCAAGCAATACGGGCCTCCCCTCTCTGTGTAATGGCTTTATTTCTCAGATACTGGCCCAGCAACTCTCCCTATTTCCTGTCACCCTGTCATCTAATTTCCTCCTCCTGACCCCCATAGGTATACTAACATGTATTCATTTCTTTTCTTAAAATAAAAAAAAAGGATTGAGCACTTCTTCAGCTGCCTTCCCATTTCTTTGCTTTTCTTTTTTTTGTACCAGGAATTGAACTCACCATCTTGCACTTGCAAGGCAGGAACTGCGACACTGAGCTATATTCTTGGCCCTGCCCCTCCGTTTTTGCTTCATGTTACAGGAAACTCTTCCCACACACCATAGATACTAATAGAGCAGATAGAGCATAGGTTTCAAAAGATGGAAATAGGGGGCTGGGGATTTAACTCAGCGGCATAAGCACCTGCCTTGCAAGTGTGTGGTCGTGAGTTCGATCCCTGGTACTGGTAAAAAAGAAAAAGACAAAAAAAAAAAAGGATGGAAATAATTCGAACTCACCTAAAATTCAATAGTGGAATAGTACTAAAGAACACTAGAGCAAAGCTCCCAATCTCTTCCATCCCTTAAAAATTATAGAATTTTGCTTGTTTAGGTTTTATTCACTTTATTTCTCTTGTATAATAACTCTATCTTGGGGCTAGGGATTTAGCTCAGTGGCATAAGTGTCTGCTGGGTGAGGGCACACTTGTGAGTTTGATCCCTGGTATCAAAAAAAAAAAAAAAAACCCTATCTTGTAGTTACTTTTGGAGGCAGCATTTAGTGTAGGTTTTTACAAGGTCATCAATGAATTCCTGGTAGGGAGACTTAGAAAAAACAGACTTTCCAGAGGTCAGGAGTCAGGTAGCTTATAGATATTAGAGATGGCATCAAAGGTAACTTCCACGTGTGGTGGTACATGTCTCTAATGCCAGCATTCTAGAGGCTGAGGCAGGAGGATCACTGCACGTTTGAGGCCAGCCTGGGCTACCAAGTGAGTTCTAGGCCAGCCCAAACTGCATACTACATCCTGTCTCAAAAAGACAAAAAAAAAAAAAAAAAAAAAAAAGGTGGAGAACCCTTGGTGAAGTGGCCCAGAATGGATCGCACCCCTGGAAGAGGTATAGCAGACACCTTGGCAGCCAGCAGCAGCTTCTTGTACATGGGGGCTAAGATGATGCCAGTGCTGGGAGGGAAGGGGAAAAGCACACTGACAGAGCTTCACAAGCCTGTCACCTTGTGAGGTCAGGGGGCGCTTGCTGACCTTGTTAACTTAGCAGTCCTTTGAGAGTTCTCCACTGTCCCAGTGTGGAGAGGAGGGTGTTTTTAATAACACCACACGCTGCACTAAACAGAAGGCAACTGCCGTGGCAAAAGCAATGAGTCTGAGGTAGGAAGATCTCAAGTTCGAAACCCAGCCTGTAAAAGGTAGCAACCTCGTATCTCAAAATAAAATAATTTTAAAAGGGCCAAGGATGTAGCTCAGGGCAAAGGCCGGGAGTTAAAAATAAAATTAAAAATTAAAAAAAAAACAGAAGGTAACAATATGTGGCCGGGGGGATTGCTATCTAATAGCCATTCCTGCCACTGGTCTCAGCTAATGGACCCTGACCTTGTCCGTGCTCAGAGCCCCAACTGCAGCCATGATCAGTCTGAGCTGGGATTGGTGGACCTTTCCTAGGGGTATAGTCATAGGCACATGATGAAAGTCTGGCCAACAAGCCAGGGTGAGAAGTCTACAGGGAGACTTTGGGGATAGATTTTAAATACTTATTTTAAAGACACTGCAGAAAATCATCCTCCATCCACTAGCAGACACTGTCTTATCCACATGGGATTCCTGGAATTGTGGGAATATGAAGGGAGTTGGCCAAACATAACATACTAGGAATATGGGAGAAATCCACTCCTTGATAGCAAGATTAAGCAATATTATGGACCAACCTTGCCACCTATCTAAAAATTCCTCGAGATTAAATAACAAATCACCTTGCTAAAATGCATTTTTTTTCCTTGTCATTCTTCACTGGTGTCCCATATATTTGGACTTTATTTTCACTAATTAATTAAAGGTAATTCTCTGAAATATAATTCACTTACAGTTTTAACCTGCAAGTTGGCTGATTGATCATCAGTTTGAAGGTAGGAAATAATTTCCTTCTATATAACACTTCATTCCTGAAGCTTGAGTTGTATTAATAACTACTTAGCACAGTCTTTGTTTTAGAGAGTTATCCCTTGAGTTGCCAAAAACAGTTTTCAGGCAAATTTTGAACTTATTTAAATAAAATTTAAATTCATTTTATAATTTGTTCTCTTACTCTTCCTATTAGTTTTTAAGTAATAATTTACTATACAACAACTTATATGTCATCATTTTGAGGCAAAATGAAAGCCTGAATTTCCTTTAGAAACTAGACTGATATTCATTATTAAAGTGATTTTGGGGAGTTATCTGGTGATTTACTTATGTAAAATTTTTAAAAATTTGTTTATGTATCTATGTGACTAAGTTATGACACCAAATAGTAACAGGGTTGCCACGTCCAGCAGAGCTCTTGAAGTTCTTAAGAGGAAGAATCGAAAGAGGATGGAGAAATAAAGAGAAGAGACAGAAGCTAAAGCCTGGGTGGGAGGACAGGAACTGCTCAGCAAATGCAGTGCATGTTTAGACTAGTCTGAATCTTTTCTATTTTTTTTATTTTATTTAAAGGAGAAAAAACAAAACAAAACAGTATAAGGTACAAGTAATACAGAATTTCAAAAAAAAAAGTAAGAAATCACTGGTTAATAGATTACACATTGTCATCTTAGAAATAGTTGTTCAAGTTACAGGATTAAAGCATACAAAGTGGACATTCAAACAGTGAGACTGCAAACGGTTGTGTTCAGTGATCCAAAAAAACTTAGTAATATGGTCATCTATCTTAACACACCTAAACACACTTGCAGTTGTATCCTTTAGAGCACTTTTTTTCTCTCTTTTTTACATCAACATTTACACATTTTGAGTTTTATTACTCCTATAGTTCTTATTACTTTTTTAATCTTTTCTATTTTTACAGAAATGTAAGAATCAGAATGTCAATCTTTATGAAAAATGGTGTTGGCAGTTTGATAAGAGGTTGTGTTTTCTGATCTTTATTATTTTCTTCTATTTGTTTTTGGTGTTATTCTGTCTTTTTTTTTGGTCTTTTTAAGACAGAGTCTCACTATGCAGTTCAAGCTGGCTTTGGGCTCACTTTGTAGCCCAGGCTGGTCTCAAACTTGCAACAATCCTCCTGCCTCAGCCTACTGAGTGCTGCAATTACAGGAGTGTACCACCACACCTGGCTTATTCTTTTTTTTTTTTTTTTTTTTTTTGTCTTTTTCCTTTTTATTGGTACCAGGGATCGAACCCACGACTGCCTGCTTGTAAGGCAGGCACTTATGCCACTGAGCTAAATCCCCAGCCCCTATTCTTTTATTTTAAATTTCTCAAGGAAAGTTATGAGGATATTTCATAACTTTCTTCTTTTCTAATAAATGTACTTGGTGTTACATTTTTAAAAATCAGGGGAAAAAATACAACAAATGGAGTGCATTTATTTATACATTTGGCAGGGTGGCGTCACGTGACAACCTCTTTGCCTAGAAGCCCATTGTTTGGATTGTCTATGGCCTGGGTGTTCTCTGGACTGAAGCAGCTTGTTCATGTGGCTTGCCTTCGGTGTTCTTTGTTCTCCAACCAAGTTTCCCTCACCCGTGCACTTGTGATCAATTTCCAGCTTTGGTCACTTCCTGCAAAGGGTTAAACTGTTCTAAAGGATAAAAATAAATAAATAATCACCTTATTGGGTAGCTATTTTTGAGTTTTCTGGTACTTTCTGGCCAAAACATCCCACCGATATCCAAACCTGGAAGAAAAACAATATAAAAGAACCTGAGTCTAATACTCTTGCATGACAGTTATCTCCCTGTCCTGACTGCCTACAAAATGCTGAGTTGTTTCATTAATGAAAAATATACTCCCAGCTTGCTTGAAACCCGGTATGTGAGGGTCCCTGTGTTGCAGCACCTTAGTCTATACCTCAACTATTTTTTTAAAAAGCAGGGACTGGAAATGTGACAGTGGTAGATAGCTTACCTGGTATATGCAAGGCCCTAGGTTCAATCGCCAGCACTCAAAAACAAAAAAAAAACATGGGGCTGGGGTATGGCCATGTCACACAACCCTCCTCACCGGACACACTGACCCAGCATGCACACCCATGAGAACTACCTGCTCCCTGTATCTCAGTGCTCAGTCAGTACCCTCAGTACCCCTATATCGATCTTCTTTAAATACATATTTTATATATCTGTAAAAGTGTTACCATGTAACCAAGACCAACATTCTAGGGGGGCCACTGATGAGCATCCTGTAACCATCAAATCTATCACTGGAACTGGGATTGAAGAAGACAGAGCTCATCTGCACTCCTGCCTGTTTCAGGGGCATTTCTGGTTTCATGAGGACCTGATGGAACTTCCCGCCCCACACATAGGTAAACAAGACGATGTGGCCCTTCTGTCCTGCAAGACAGTAAGGAGTGTAACAAAGGACCAGTTCTACTGGCTCCACCTGGATCCCTGAGGCCATGAAGCTGCAGTACCAGACCTGAGCTGCATACCTCCAGACTTAGGACAAAAAGAAAGAAGCCTCATTCTTTTGCAAGTTATCATCACTCTAGACATTTCTGCTATTCAGGTATTCCCATCAACTAGCATAGCATGTTTCCTAATCAAAACTCAGCTGCCATGTGCTGTGTGCTCACAGAGCACTGAATAACTGTGTTTTCTTCATACCACTCAACTATAAAGAGAGAGCAAAACAGGTCCCAAGTCTCAAAGATGCTCCCAAGACTGGACCCTTCACCTATCAGCCTCAGCTACCTGCCATGTAAAGTGGAGACGATGGTACTTTGTCCAGAATGGTCAGGCCCAGCCTGCATACATTTGCCTGTCCTGTTTTTTGCTTTGGTCTGGTTTTTGGCACAGTGCTGACCAGGCTGGCCTTGAACTCCTGGGCTCAAGCAATTCCAGCTGAGACTACAGGTGAATTCCGTAACACCCAGCTTGTCCTATTATCTTTCCTAATATAATGCCTGAGTCAGACGTAGTCTAAGCAATTTATATGATAGTGGCTTTAAAAAGATGTGAAAGTACTGAGCTGGGTGCAGAGGGTCATGCCTGTAGTCCTAGCACTCAGGAGGCTAAGGCAAGAGGATTGCTGTGATTTCCAGGCCAGCCTGGGTTACAAAGTGAGTTTAAGGCCAGCCTGAACTGCACAGTGAAACCCAGTCTCAAAAAGTCAAAAAACAAAACAAAACAAAAAAAAAAGATTTGAGAGAAAAAGGTAAAAATTGAAAATGGGAGTCAGTTGTGGAGGTATATAAACCCAGACACTTGAGAGGTTGACGGCAGGATTTTGAGTTTAAGGCAAATGTGGGCAACATAACAAAACTTTGTCTCAAAAATGCAGAAAGTGACTGGTCCGATGACAGTGGGTTATCAGAACTTATTAACATTAGTGTCACTAAAGTTGGTATACCACCCCTCCACTGCTAAATTTGACTGGCTTTAAAAAAATAAATAAATAAATAACATTTTTAAAAATGCAGAAAGTTACAGAGGGACACATATGGAAACTAATGCACTAAGGACAGAATAAAAGAGCAAAGAGGCCACGCAAGAGACCCCGAGGCAGAGCCCAGCGGGAAAATCATTGCCTAATGTGCACAACCTGGCCAGGCTGAGCTACATAGTGAGTTCAAGGCCAACCTGAACTATAAAGTGAGACATTGTCTCAGAAAGAAAGAAAGAAAGAAAGAAAGAAAGAAAGAGGGAAGGAAAGAAAGAAGAAAAAAAGAAAGGAAAGTAGATTCTAAAATCCATTGGAAAGTTTTGAAGATTTCAGTTTTGTTGCTAGATATAGGGTCAATATACAAAATTCAACTGTGTTCACTCTAACCAACAACAAACAATATGTAATTCTGGTTTACATTTCTATAATTTCACTTATAATAGCAATCAAACCACCTGGTACCATGGAATAAATTCCCCAAAATTGTGACTTTAAAGAGAAACTTATAAAATATTTTTGAAATCATAAAACAAGACCTAAATAAACAAGAAGTCTTGCAGGGCCATATGTGGCCTCAGACTTCCTATTATAAAATACCAACTCTAGCCAGGTGTGCTGGACCATGTCAGTAATCCCATCCCTGAAGGGGGCTTAAACATGAGGACCACAAATTTGAGTACTGCCTATGCAAATAAACAAGATCTTGCCTCAAAAAATAAGTGGGGTGTGATGGCACATGCCTATAACCCCAATATTCCAGGAGGTTGAGAGAGAAGAATTACAACTTTTAGCCCAGCCTGGGCAATTTAGTGACTTAGCAAGACACTGTCTCAAAATAAATTTAAAAACATGGCTGGGGACATAACTCAATGCAAAGGCCCTATGTTCAATCTCCAGTACTACGAAAAACTAATTTTAAAAGATAGCTCTGTGGTAGAGCACCTCTGAGTTTGATCCCCAGTACTCTGCAAAAATAAAAGAAAAACACCAGTAAAATGTCACTTCTGTACAATTTCAATTCCTTCAAGCATAACAGAGGTTACCACAGACACACCTTTACTTTTCTGTCAAGTTTTACTTTATCTTAATAGTAGCCAGCTGTGAGTCTCAGTACCTTTCCCTGAGGGATACAGGAAACAGTCTTTGCTTTACCCACTTGGAACAATGAAAGGCAAGGTATGTACACATGTGCAAAAGTGTCACACCAGCATTAACACTCTCATGTTCCATGGAACAGTTTTTGTGTAAATTTACTTGAGCATCACAGAGAGTACAATACACCCACACCATCCTAGGATTTTTTTTTTAATTTCTTTCAATTTTTCTGATAGAAGTAGTCCAATTCAGTAAAATGGCATGTGAAAAACTAGATTTGCAAGTTTTGGAGGAGATAAAAAGAGAATCATCAGACCACTCATGCATGGACAACGAAGATGATTCATTATGGTAAAATACATGTTTTGATCACAGAAGAGTAGTATGAATGGATGATGATGATGATGATGATGATGATGATGATGATGATACTGATGCGGGCAATGCAGACCTCCTTGATTCAGACATTGAGTACATATTAGACTAGTTGAAATGTTGCAAAATGATCAGACAACCAAATGGAACAATCCAATGTTAGAACTAGGTCCAAAAATACAGTGGGGTCTTGGCAGGGGTGACTGTATTGGGCAGAATGCCAACAATGCCATTCAGTGCTGGATATTATAACAGACAAAATGCTACAAGATGCTGTGAAATACAGCAGGCTGAGATGCAAGTAAAACATTCTGTATGCAACAACAGCTGGATTCAAAAATGTATTTGACACCTCACTAGCTGAACTGAAAGCATTCATAGGTCCACTGTACTTAGCACAGATTTCTCATAGTGATCGTAGGAATGTCAAAGACTTATGGATGTGGGCTGGGTTTAGCTCAGCAGGATAAACGCATGCTTGGCAAGTGTGAGGTCATGAGTTCGATCCCTGGTGCCAAAAAAAAAGACTTATGCAGGCGTGGTGGCACACTCCTGTAATTCCAGCACTAGGGAGGCTGAGGCAGGAGAATCACTGCAAGTTTATGGCCAGCCTGGGTTATAAGGTGAGTCTAAGGCCACCCTGAACTGCATAGCGAGACCCTGTCTCAAAAAGACAAAGCCGGGGAGGGCATAAAAATGTATGCCATTGTAGATGCAAAGACTTATGCTTTCTGGGTTGTTTTTATTTTAAAGAGAACAAAATCAAACAAAATAAAACAGAATAAAGCTAATCAAAACAAAACAATGAAAGCAATACAAGACTTCAAAACATGATAATGGAAAATCAACCATAATATATCTTGTTGTCCATTCTAAGCTTTATGCTTTCAATTTAGAAATTTATCCTTGAACTCAGCCATCAGGTCCTTATTCATATAGTAATAAACTTAATGAAGTTGTACACAGACTAGTGACTCCCATCTCCTAAACTAATCAGAATGTGACACATGACAATTGCTTTACCAGTTTCCAATTGATCTCACATTTGTTAACAGAGCACAGGAACTGTACACAGAAACAAAGCAGAAATTCCAAATGAAATGTCGCAATTTCAAAACAGAAAACTGTATAGTACAATGTTTGGATTTCAGAAAGATTTACATTGGCCTCATTTATGGCAAAGAAAAACAAACTGGTACTGCTGATATCAACACTGCACCATGATGAAAATATTGATGGGAAACTTTGACAAAATGGAAACCTGAAATGATAACTTGCTGCCAACAGAACCAAAGGCAGAGTAGATGTTCTTGATGAGCCCTGCAACAACTATGACGGTGCCTGAAATACAAAACACTGACCAGTGGTTGTGTTTTACTGGATCCTAAACAGGTATACCATAAATTGTTCGGTAGTTCACAAAGAAAATAACAAGTGAAAAATACCACAGAAACATATTCTTGGCAAATTGGGACTGGAACTCATAAGAGATCATTTATAACAGAGAAAAAAATATGCAAAAAAATTGTGGGACATCCTGGTGTGCTGACAGGTGAACAGGCAGGTGCAGCATTCCAAAGACTTACTGTGACAACAAGAAAACCAAAAAGATGTCAACTGTGCCCTACAGGAAACTCATACACGCTTGAGGTATAAGCAATACTTGTGCATGGAATATACAATTTTCACATGTGAAGACTTGCATAGTAGTAAGAACCTCCTGACAAAACAGCAAGACCAACTACATGTCCTACAAAAAGACCAGGAAAGCAAAATACATGTGCTGTCAGTATAACTAATACATGTATAAGGAAAATGCTG